AATCCAGCACCTCTCTCAAGTTCAGAGGCAAGTAGCAAAGCTGCCTTGTGGTTTTGGATGAGGGATGCCAGGTTCTGTAGAAGATTAGAAACCAGCAGCGTCTGGTGGGTCCCTTCCCAAGTGAGCCACTAATTTGCTACACAAGTCGGTGGAGATCTTGTCCCTTACGTGTGCTGGCTTTTAAGTAAAAGCAAGAGCACAGAGAACAAGTATGTATACAGACAATTTGGTTTCTCTTATGAAGAGAGATGTTAAAAGGTGTGCTGTCAGAACAGAGTATTTTTCCACTGTATATACAAAAGCCCTAATGAAACACTGATTTTAATCCTGAAAAAACCTGGGAAAAAATGAGGGTATAGTCTAAAAGTACAGTTCCCACAGCAAGCAGTTAAATACTAAGGCTTTGACCAACAGGGCTGATTTTCTTTTTCTGCAGCCATTTGAAAGCAGAGATGATAAAGCTATCGAAAACCCAAATCACTTTATTTGTGGAGTTTCTGAATTTGCATCTCAGGGCTTTAACTTCACGCAGTTGGCTGATCCACCGCAACTTTTCTGCCTGTCCCCGAGCTGGCAGCCTATGCATCTGTTCCTGTCTCACCCCCTTCTCTCCCTCAAACTCATGCTACGGCTAATGACAGTGCCATTGGTGTGAAGGAGTAGAAGCTTAACCAATCTGATCTGCAAGGCTTGGTTTCAGCATCATTAAGACTGGATCAGTGCACTGCTGGATCACTCACTAGTATAAATTCGACTTGGAACTGGGTATAAGCCGTGACTTCTCGTCATCAGGACGCATAAGGAGAGATCTGCATTGGTTTTATGTTTAATATCAAGCTTCCTCCCAGCAGCAGGATGGTGACAATCTGACCCAGGTGGCAAAGCCTGCTTGTACAAAGTTAACCATTTTTCTTAGCCAATTTGAGCAAGTACAGTAACTTTACATCAAACCAACACTTGCTCTTGAACCAGCTGCAGGAAACCCAAGGCCAGACTCACTATGCTGTCAAACACCTGCTGCATGAACTGAGAGGGACATCCATGTGGCTCGCACCCCAGCCAACCCACCGCACAGGTCCTCAAAGTGGTTAAAATCACCTACACTCTCCGTGAGCGCAGCTGGAGGCACAGCCTCGCCTGCGGATTTCCCCAAGAACCACACACCGGGGAACAGCGAGGAACAAGAACAGGGCAATCCCTCAGCCAGACCGAACGCTTTCTGGGCTGTTTTCTTTTGGCGACGACTGGCACAGATCACTTCCCCAGGAAGCTGCTAAGGTTCCTTGTGTTGATTTTTTTTCCCCCGTTTTCATTGTGTGGTCAGAGTGAAAGCCGTGGCATTTGGCAGCTACTTTCCATCAGCGCTATTGTTATTCCCTGGTAGTAAGGATTTGTTTTCCATCAGGTGAAACGCAAAGGCGTTGTCCCTGTTTGGAAGAACACAGAGTTAAAGAGACCCCTGGGGAAATACTTCCAAATGCCATGCACGATGTTACTTTTAAGATTTCTTGGATGTGGTAACACTTCCCAACAGAACAATGTGTTAGCACACTGTGTACGTTTTGCTAAGCTGCTGCCCACACTTCAAAGAAATCATTAATCCTGATGTTCAGATGCTGCTGAAAGGAAAGAGCGAACCGGGGAGCTCTGCAGAAGTCCCGTCCTTAGACTTTGTGCAACATTCAAAAGCTGAATCATGTTTAAATGCAAAATTTACCTGAAAGATCATTTCCACTGCTCAGCCTAAATAAAGAAGTACTTATGCTACTGATCATATTACAAAACAGTGCTGAACTATAACTTAAGTCTGTGAAGACAGTGAAACTGTGTTAGCACCTTGTAAGTTTAAGCATTGTTCTTGCCTGTTTTGGGCTAGTATCGTTCAATTCCTCAGGTCTTAAAAGTCCTTACTGAGAAAAGCCTCTTTATTCCCGGTACCAGTTGCCAGACTGTGTGGTTTTCAGATAATGCTGTTGGAATTGAGGTTGCTAAATGAGAACCAGAAGGCTGGAGCTAAACAGATAAATTATAATTTCCAATTCCCTCACCATAAATGGGGTTCCCAAAGAACTCTTCCACCCTGTTTTCAGACAAAACATAAGGATCACCATCTTCACAGATTAAGGACACCAAAATCCCCGTTAAAACCCAGAATGACATTCTTCATCTTCTGGCAGAAGTTAATGATGCAATACATGCTCCCTTCCTTTTCTTAAGTGGTTGGTTGAAAATTACTTTTAAAACACTGCTAGTTGGTTATACATTCACAAATTTCCACAGAGGAGGACTTAAATCTTTAGTTTTGTGCTTTTTTTTTTTTTAGCTAGTACATATTAATAGTTTACTGAGAACCTAAGATCCTTCTGAGGCAAATGAAGTATCCGAAAAGATAATAATACAATCCAACAGAGGCGACAAGAGTGAGGGAAGGGCAAGTTAACCTGTAGCCACTTCTTACTCTCTGAGACACCAAAAAAAAAATGCCCCAAAAGCTGGCAGGTTTTTTGTTGTTTTAAAGACCTCTGGCTTGTGTATTGAAAGTAGGCTCTAAATAATTCCATGTATGGACACAATTATTCCAGAGCAAGAAACACCCTATTTCCATCTGGCCTTGGAGTCTGTTCCAAAATAAGCATACCAGCTTCAGAATTACTCAGGGAAAGATAAATCCATACCCGACTTTATTTTACAGTAATTCGTAAACACACCATCATAAATACGCCAGGAATTTGAGGGTCCATTTTTCTGGGGGTCTTTTGGCTAAAGTAACCTTTAAACAAACCAGGGCTAGACCAAGCTATAATTAGGCTGATAGTTTATCACACTTTCCCATCAGGTAAAGCCTCCGCAGCTTAAATTCATAGCCTAGGTGCTGCCGAAACTGCAGTTTTTAATGAAAAAAGAAAAATAATAGAAAGGAGAAAAGAGGGTCATATTCCCTACCTATGACTAATATAATCTTGCGTGTAGCTTAAGAGTTGCTCTGTAACGAGGACACACTCACTTGAATTATGCAGCTCAACAGAGCTATCTCAGAATTGGATGGCTTTACTACATCGCTGGCTTGCAGCGACGCCAGTCAGATGCAGACAGGCAGACTTCTTAACCTTCCGGCTGAGAAGATTAAATCCTTAACAGAGTGATCTCTTCTCTCCCCCTTCTCCCTCCCATTCCCCCATCTTTTAAAATAAATAACAAAGGAACCTTTAACAATCCACCTAAAAAGGAAATTTCATTTTCTAGCATTTCTGATGTAATAAATAGGCTGGACTTCCAATGATATAGAAACAAGTATCATCTTACAAAGCTGACAAAATGTGAGTAGGTAAACAAGATCCTCCCATACCTTCATAAATACCAGGGCAAAGGACCAAGTATCTTCCTCATGTGCAAGTTTCCCTTATCGAACAGCTGTAAGGAATTCTTACGGTATGTACAAACATAAAAATCTGTATTAACCAAATCCCTGAGAGAGCGTATAACCACCACCACTTGGAAAAATAAGCAAGGTCATTCAGTCAAAAGATTTTATTTTTGTCTAGGATCAACTGCTTTATATGGCTTTGCTACCAAATATAGAAACACTACCCCATACACAAAGGCACTACTTTTAAAGATTGTGCTTTTGGGGGAAAAACAGAATTCTTTTTTCCTCCTAAAAGATCTTTTCAAGCATGTATTATAAAGATCCAAGGGACGTCAGACAGGAAAGGACCAACCAACCACATTCTGGACTGAACTATATATGGCTCAACTCCACTAACTTTAGTGGTTTTGAGAAATCGATGCAGAACTTTATTAAAAAAAAGAAAATCTTCTTTCATCTCGGAATTCTAGGATTATTTAGTAACTCTGGTTAAGCTATTCACCACATTTAATTCCCTACATAAATTTTAGAGGACAATTAAGAAATGCCGTTCTAAAATAAGCCAGGTCTACAGCAAGGCAGGCTACTCTTTTAGAACTATGAGCAAACGTCTGATTAAGATGACAAGCCACATGGAAACTACTTCCAGAATCAGACTTAAAGGGCACTGTTACCAACCAAATTTGGCAGACAAGGAATCATGACGAACTGCAAAGGCATGCAGCAGCGCAATAAAAAGTTGGGAATCATCAGCAAATAAGATGGCAAGCACTTGTGTCGATTCAGCGAGGGCAAGAACATAAACAGGACAAACTCTAAGCATAAAAGGCTGGATTCAGATGAATGGCACTGTGCCATAGTGGGAGTGGAGCTCGCTCTTCCATTTACAGACCGCTTGCCATCAACAAGCCGTATCCGTAAGGGAACGGACATTCTGACATCCATCTTTCAAGAGAGCACAGTTTCAGAACCATTTTAATAGTTACAACAGAAAGCCTGAAAGAGAAAGAACTAAAAGCATGACGTATATAATGTAAGGCTCTATACTTTCCTGAAAGCTGTGTTTAAGGTCAGAACTCTTAGAGAGATCTGACATTTATCGCTAGATAACGGTAGGCATCTAGCCTTATCTGTAGATATCCATCGTTAGATTTGGTATTTTCAATACACGGTTACCCCTGTTTCAGATCACTGCACCTTCAGACAGTCTTTATGCTAAGGGGATGGTGACTGGAATTTCAGCTCCAGCAGAAAAGCCAGCATGTATAGCAAATTTGTCAAATGTTACAGGAAGCTTAACTGAGTCTCATGTCTATTTCCAGGAATATTAGGATGCACCAAGTACAGCTACATTAACTTGGAAAGGGGACAGTAAGAAATAATTTATTCTGTGCGTCGACTATATTTGTCAGTAGCATAACACAAAACAAACGCAGCAAGCGAGCACGCTGAGCTCCCTTGGAAAAATACGACCAAATTCTGAATGCATATGTGAAGCTTAAGCTCTTTTTCTGACCAACGAAGCACAATTTACCGAGCAGGCGACCGCAGCACAACTGAACTAATTACGCACTCGGTCAAGCACTGCTTCACTAAGCCAACTATTTCGCTGTACATCCCAGAAACTATTTACCTCGTTTCTGAGTCAGAAGCAGCAGCTACAGCAAAGGACACCCGGAGCCTGGGGTCTGTGCGCCGCGTCCGTGGGTTCAGGCGCTGCGGCGGCCACAGGGACGCCACAACGGCACGGCCGGGATGAAGGGAGGGCAAACAGTGC